CATGTGTCTCGAATCTAAGCCAATGATTATCGTATAATGACGATGAATGGCGAATTGAGTCTGAGCGCTGCAACCAAGGGGCGGTCGCGTTCGCTTGTTGGCACTCACTCATGTGCTGGCGCTCAAAGCATATGGAGCGCTTTTCTCATCTTTTCGATAGACTGCATGGCTTGGCCGGCCACCTCACTAAATCTTCCTCAGCGTTGGGTCTTTCCTACTTTTCTCTACCAATTGTAGCTTTCGTAGGCTTGAAATATGTACCATTGATAGTTATTTATTCATATTGTTCTATTAATTCGTGACATCACAAAGAGATGTGTCTTCGAAGGGGTAAGAGAGAATTCAAAGCTAAAATCACACATTTTTGATATCATGGAAAGCTTCGGCTTGGTTGAGATAGTGATGTCAAGGGTGGCTGCACATCCTGTTGACTGCATAGAATGCGAAAAAAAATTATCTGCATCAATTCACCCGGTTAAAATTCGTCAATAAATCAATAGTACCGGAGCCGCTCATCGCAGATTCTATGCAGTAGATTTCTCATATGCGTTACCCTTTATTCAGTCCAAGGACGTGCGCACGTGGAATTTGAAAATCAGGTTATGGGAAAATTGCCTAGAGTTTTGTTTCGCATGTGCGTTTTTTCACATTACATGGTTCAATTTAATTACCTTTGGTTAGGGGGGTTTCACTTTTCTTCGTGACTTCAGAGGACATTTTTGAAAAATTAATTCTGAAATTCGCCCTTCTTAACTAGCTTTGTTGTTGTTAATCCATAGAAATTTCATGATATTTTTATCTGTGACGGAAGAACTTTCGGCGCTGCTCGGCTTGAGAGGGTTAGGCATTTTCACATGTGCACTTTTGTTAATTTAACCAGTTTCTTCTCACCCTGGTGAGACCTGTAGATCTTTGCCAAGTGTAAATGAAGCTCTGCTATTGCATAGCTTCACAAGTCTCCATAGGAAACATCGGCAGCGATCGATGAGAACCAGCAGAAGCAAATTGTCCCTCAAGCCGAATTGCGCTAAATTTTAATGCAAAAAGAGAAAAATCGAGCAAAAATTTGGCAGGTGAGGTGACTGGTTTGTTCCAAGTCTTTTGGCTCTGTGTACTAGCTAAGGTGCTGGAAGTTCAGTTTGTAAAGTAAATTATTACTGTCCGTATATGCTTTTTTCCATACGTTCTTCCAAAAATTGTCCCAAACATATGATTTGTCCCAAACCCCCAGCGTAAACACTTTGCGTCAAAGTGGCACCTGCGCCATGTGCGTAGGCTTCTAGTTCAATTCGCCAAACGCTGAAAATTTGTTCTCGGTAATAATTTGTCCTTTTGTAGGCGAATATGGCAATTGCTTGAAACGCCCTCTCAGGGCTGACGTCTGTGGCGCCCTTGCTAGGAGTTTTCTCTCCAAACATATGGAACACTTTGTTGTGGGTGGGGAGGAGAGGGGGAAAAGGGTCAGACCGCTCACGGAAGGAAGCTTTCCATAAAATCTTCTGTGTGGAATGATTTTGACTGGACTTTTTTCTTGAATTCCAGGTCAGTCTGTATGGAAAAGCTGGCATATTCTTTGGAGTCTCCTTTCGTTGACCATTTGTGTGACACTTCGTAGGCTTAGCGATGAATCCTGTCCTTTCCATAGTGATATAGTTCGGTAATTTTTTCATTTCCTTTTATCGATTATCATTGTTGTGACGGAAGCTCCCACAAAAACATTTCATTCGTGACCGGTCAACGTTTTTTCCTAGTGATTTTGCTGGATGGATCGTAAATTACCAGCCAGTATTATTTCCTTCAACAGAATAATTAAATTGGACGTGACGCCGTGCCACATCACTGAAAGAGCAATAGCTCCAAAAATAGCCACCAGTTTTTGTCATTTTAATGTTATTTATTAGCAGATAAACGTAAAATGTTGTAGCTAGAATTTCCTATGTCACAAATGTTTTGTTTTTACGAATAGAGCGCGAAGCAGGTGCTTTTCTGTTGTAGTTCTGAAAGATCTCGAGATTTCAGAATCACAATAATTTCCAAATGTTCAAGCTGTAAATGGTTGCGACAAGTCCGGGAGAGGTACTACAGAAGGGGGGAATCGTATTCTGCGAAGTGAAGTTCTTTTAGTACTGAAGAAATCATTAAGTGTCACAACAAAATGGAAATGGAAAACTTGCAAATCTCTGACTTTTTCATGAGCGACTCTTAAAAACTCGGTGATATGGAGTTTTCTCTGGCAGGCATCATTGAGTACTTGAATTTGTAATCTCAAACTTCATTTTTTTTCAAACTGGAATAGTTTTTTGTGGTGTGTGTTTTTCGAGTGTGATTTTTGAAGACTGGTTACCCTTTACCACCCCCCTCCCTTCCTCGTTCCCTCCCTCACTTTTTGGAAGTAGTGTTCATCCATAGTGTCATCGTGGTATACAAGGTATTTAGCTAGGCTAGATCTTTATCAAAAATCGTCTTGAGGGAGAAATTTTGGCGCTGATACAGTTAGGAGGGGAGCCTACTCGAACACTCCCGTGTCCTTCCCCTAACCAACTCTTATGCTTGGAGCAGGGAAGGGTCTCCTCGGCGAGCTGTCGTGCGATTTCCATCAACAGAAACAGCGCCTTTTTACAGCATATTTTCTGGTTGTTGTTATAGGTGGAACGGGAACAGCAGCTCCGGATAGAAGTTCGGGTGTTGGTCATTTTTCATTAATATAAGCAGTCCTTCTATTGTTTTGACTTTTTACAAAGGAAGGGAACCTCCGTTGTTTAGCTGCCTCTAGCGGCGCGTGACGGAACATGAGATAAATTATCTCTTGGAGCCCACCTCTTAAAACATCTCGCTAAATATCTGGTTGAGCTTTTAATCGTTTTCAAAAAAATCATTGGAACTAAGACATGATGATCTACAGTGTTGATCTCAATGCTGCTGGTTATTCATTTAGTGATGTCAATAAATCCCTCAAAGGGCTATTTAGCCCCAAATCAATTAAAAAAACCCTAGTAATCCAAGTAATCCAAAACAAAAAGCGTGCATCATTTCATCGAAAAGAAATGCTTCAAAGGGACGACTAATGGCATCTTGACACGCGATTTCCCTTTCAGTGAGTGCGTGTCGCTATTTTGGTTCGTCTGAGAACGTGCCTGATGCCTGGTGAGGGTTGAACGTCACATAGTTGCTGCCTTCACTCCCATATAAAGTAAAAGGTGGTTGCCAATGTAAAAAGTGCCCATGACTGATCTACTGTATACTCCATAACTGGATGATGGGGAGGGCGTGACCGTTTACTTCATTTAAACGGGCGGAAGCCGATCTTCTGGTGGATATTTTCTTTATGAGACAATGGCAATCATGTCTTTGTGCAGTGAAAAAGGGTAGCAGTTGCTTCAAATGAAAATCTCCCATGAAAACGCAGCCTACGCTGTGTTGAAATGAAACCCACCCGCACCTTCCCTATTTCCAGATATAAAGTGTGCTTCCTCACCCACGCTGTCCGTTGAAGATCCAGATTCAGAAGGTCCGCAGCTGCTGACTGTGCATAATTGATCGGACTGCTTTCTCTCATTACCCAATTAACGCATGAAAGTGGAAACTTGTCATCGATTGTCGCCTTCTGAAGCGCATTCCCTAATTGGAAAGGCTTTTAGCAGGAACGAAACCGACTTTTTGTCGTGTCTGTCACTTTTTGTCTTTTGTTTGTCACTCGACAAGCAAGTATTCAAGTTGTCACGAGCTCGCTTAAAGTTAGAACTCGGTGAATAAATGATGAATTTAACTTCGGCGCAAGTCCGCTGGGGGTGAGGGCTGGGCGACAGGAGAGGGGGGGGTGGGGGGGCTCGTGATGTCTGGGATCATTCTGTTAAGTTCTTGTAGACTTGTGAGGTATGTGGCAAGACAGTCTTCACATGCCGTGCTGGGCGTGGCGAACGGCACCGCGAGAGACGAGTTGTCCTGCCTGGCTGTTTAAATTTGAATGTGATAGGAACGGGAAGGATCGAAATACCTGAGTGAAGTTCTGCCTGCTTTTCAAATCACAAGAATTCCGCTGCTCCAGTCGACAAACTTATGCAGATCAAGAAGATGCCGCGCACCGCCGCACGATGCGCCGCGCGGGGTCGCGACAACTTGTGATTGTCTTGTCCGTTTCCCAGTATAGCGAGCAGCTATGATATTCAACCCGCAGACCGCATACGACAAATATTTTGTGAGAGATGGTTTCGCCTTTTCCCCTAGGCTCAGCAAGTTCCCTGGCAAACGAGCTTTCATTGCGTCTTCCGATGGTGTGCATATGGAACTGGTGCCATTTCTTAGCTTTTCAGAACTTTAGTGGGCTCCTCAAAATTAATCAATATGTTTAATAGAGCTTACTAAACCCTCCCACCAAGCGCCGACGTCATTTCTATCTTCTTGTCAATTTTTGAACATAAAATTTGCTTCACAAATGACAAACAGGCCATCTTTCTCACAGGTTTTTCTTCTTTACGTTCTCTTCGGCTCCTTTTTTCCCCTCATCTATCCTGATGTTTCCCTCTTGCTGTTTTAGGATGTCATCTTTTTCTTCTGTTTCTTTGCCATTTCACTGCTCAGGTATGTGACAAGACAATCGTAATCGTGCCGCGCTGTGCGTGACGAGCGACATCGCGCCGCGAGAGACGAGTTCTAGGTGACTGTTTGAAATGACTGTTAAAGGAATGGAGAAATTCGATATCACTCAGCATAAAGTCTTGCCTCCGAATAATTTATATGAGTTCGCTGCTCCCAGTCGAGAAATGATGGTCATCGAGAATTTGGCGCTCCTCGCGCCGGCGCGGAACGACCGGGAAATCACGAGTGTCTTGTCCTGCCAGTGGTCTTCGTTGCGTGTTTGTGAATTTCTCGTTTACCCTCACCGTCGCGTGTTTTTTACTTGGCTGTTTTACTTCTTCATCCCTCCTTTTCCAGTTAAAATATCTCCGTAGCGGCTAAAACGTCGTGCAAAATGAGTCAGTAGCCGAGGAAGGGACACCAATATGGCGGAGAAGACGCAGTGCTGTGGCCGGAAATGGTGCGTCAGCGATCCGTGTGGGATCGTGTGCGCCGTAATAACATGGTAAGTGTATGTAACGAGTATGAGGAGAATCAAGTGTATTTGAGAGTTTGAGTTTTCTGGAGTTGGTTATTCGTTTTAATTATTTGTTCAAAATAAGATAATTGGAATATTTTTGCAGGCTGCTGATCGTTTATAGCCAATCCGTGGTGTTCCTAGTGCTGATTCATTCTTTTGAAGAACACTGGCTTCATACTGGTGTTAATTTTGTGCTTTTCGAATTTTTGACGGCTTTGGCACTCATTAGCCATGTGAAGGTAAATTATTTCAATGGTCATTGCCCCCGTGTTATGGCTACTGATTTATTGATTTTTGATTTTCGATTTCAGACAATGCTGACTGATCCTGGCTCCGTGCCAAAAGGTAATGCTACTGAAGAACATATAGAGCGGTTACAAGCGGCAGAAGAGTTCAAGGTGGGACTGCAGTTACTTTTTTTCCACTTTCTTATATTTTCGTCGGTTTTGGGTCTCTTCCAATGAAAAAAGGCATCTTACAGTGGGGGAAGGTACTTAAGGTCCTGGAGTACTTATTCAGAACATTTATCGTAACTTGTAGGAGACCACAAAAGTGAGGTTCATCTTCCTTTCGTGCTTCTGGAAATGCCAAAGAAAGGGTGAGCAATAGTTCCGGATCCCCTGGTAGCAAAACTTGCAAACCTGTAATTTTTATTTTTTTGGAAAAGTTCCAGAAAAGCCTTTCAGCTGACAAACCTTCAGGGCTGTTGCAACCACGGCCTATCCCTCTTCGGGAGAAAATATTCGGAAAATGCGCCCTTCCAAACGTCCTCTGATACCATATCTCAGAGCAGCGATCAAATACGCCCCTCCCTCTCAGGGGATTCCCCAACGTATGATGTGCGGGCACTATTCACCCGTCATTGCCCCCAATCCCAAAACAAGCCTGTTTTTGACAAACTTTTTTCGCTCACTCACCTCGGAATCCCCTCCCCTTGAAAAATCCCGTTTCCTGGCTCGCCATACGTTTTTTGTACGTTTCGATGCTTTGGCAGCCGCTGCTGTCTATCATGCGTCACAGGGTTTCGTAACAGGACCGTGCACAAAAGTTCAAGATGTCAGGTAACCCTCTTGAACATGAATATCGCATCCGCTCGGCACGAAACCTCCTGGCGCTCGGGCTATAGGCACTGGCGCCAAAATACCCCGAATCACTGGTGCCTGTGGAGCGGGTGCAGCAATTTGCAACGGAGTTGCCGGTTCCTGCATCCGTTCCGCCGTAGATATTCTCAACTTCTATCTCCATTTCTTCGTGATTCGTGGAGGTCAGCTCACGTGATGTAGATATCATATGGCGAATCACGTTCACTTTCATGTGGAGGGGATGGCAACTTCTCGCATGAATTAGGATGTTCTGTGATGCCGATTTCCTGTACCACATGGTGTTGACCTGACCTTCCGAAATCTTGATCTTGGTGTTCAGAAATGGGAGAAAGCCCATCAGCGGGAGGGCGTTCGGCTGTTAGCTTTTATCGACTGACACATCTCGTTGAGTCTTCTAAATGTCTGTCGTAAGGCTGTTCGCGATCTTCCGAATCGTGTATAAGTCATGGAAGAGGGAGGTCCAGGGCATGAAACACTTTTTGGTCGGCATGGTGCCGCTTTCCTGTTGGCTTTCCCTCGCTCGCGCTATGCGCGGTAAAAGGTGATTCTGTGCTCATCATGTGCAATAACGTAGTGTTGTATTTCCATCTAAAATAGGTGATCAGATTTTTTCAGGTGATTTATAAATGCCAGAAATGCTGCAGTATCAAGCCGGATCGTGCGCATCATTGCTCGGTTTGCGATCGTTGCATTCGTCGCATGGACCATCATTGTCCGTGGGTGAACAACTGTGTGGGCGAAGCGAATCAGAAGTATTTCGTGCTGTTCACGGTCAGCTTTTGAATTTGAGATTTGAATTCAAGATTTTATCTCGCTCATCAGCTTGTTTTTTTTTTTGCTCTTCTTTTTTTCAACTCTTTCTGAGCCCATTTTGTGTCGTTCCTTGA